CCGGCTTCCGGTTGAGCAGGTGGGCGGGGCCGCCGCTCGCGGGGCCGGGCGGGAGAGCGCCTCCGCCCGAGGCCTCCGCACACTACGCTTTGTTTCCGAAAGCGGCCCGGCCGGAGCGAGCGAGCACCAAGCGCTGCCCGCCGCTCTCGGAGCTCAGAGCCCGGCCCTTGGCCTGCCAGGGGAGAACTTCAGACCGCGTTCAGCTCGTGCCTCGTCCGGGGCGGGAGGCGGCGGCGGCGGCGGCGGGCGGAGGCTCCCGGCCTCGGGGGAGGACGGGGCCGGCCCTTCCTCGGAGCCCCCCGGCCCCCGTGGCCTGGCCTGGCCGCCCCGCCGGGAGCCGGCCGCGCGCCTGCACTGCCCTCCGCAGGCAGCTTCCCGGGGCCGCCCCAGAAACCAGCCCGAGGCGCAGCGTCCGAGGGGTTCCCCCTCCTGCCCGTTCGGCTTGCTGCCGGGAAGATGGTCGAGCCCGCCACCGTCAGGCCTGCAGGGCTTCAGGCCTAAGGAATATGCCGCTCGTGGTGTGTCCTCCCCTACCCTACGGGGAGACTCCTCTTGCAAGAGACTCATCCGCTGGTGCTTCTCCGAAGACGCGGGAAGATGAGTCTGCAAACCAGACCCTTCGGTGGAGGGGGCTGCTTTCTGCTCTGAAAGATGGCCAGACCTGCGCAGTGCAGGAATGGCACTCTGAATTCTTCACAGCTCTTCAGAAGATTGCATTGCCAGGAGGTGGCTGGGCCCCGGGAGGCTTTTGGCCAACTCTGGGGACTTTGCTGTCGGTCATTAAGGCCAGAAGTGGGCACCAAGAGGCAGACTGTAGAACTGTGGTTGCTAGAGCAGTTCTGGACTGTCTTACCAGGAGAGATCCAGAATTGGATTCAGGATCAGTGTCCAGAAAATGGAGAGGAGGCAGTGACTCTGGTGGTAGATTTGGGGGGGGGGGGAAGCTTGGAAGACCTAGACACTAGACATTCAGTGAGAAGGGAGAGGAAACTCAAAAGTGTGCAATTGGAAGGAGCAAGGGTAGGAGATCAATTTAATGCATAGACAAGTTTAAAGAGGGACACAGGCTCCCAAGTACTTCTGCTCTCATGATGCTTATACTTTTGGTCTGTAGCAGGTAACTTTAGAAAACACTTGCCTGGGGCCGGGAATATTACTTAGTAGTAGAGTGCTTCCCTAGCATGCATGAAGCCCTGCCTTCGATTCCGAAAAAGCTGGAAGTGGCGCTGTGGGTCAAGTGGTAGAGCACCTGCTTTGAGCGCAGAAAGGCTCAAGGACAGTGCCCAGGCCCTGAGATCAAGCCCCAGAACCAGCAAAACAAAACAACAAAACACTTGTCTGGAACTTCTACCATTGTAACAGGACCTGTTACAATGAGTTTTCTAGGTTTTACAGTTTCTTAATAGGAAATTCTTTTTCAGCCTACAGTTGGGTTTATAGTTTGGTATTTTCTTTCTTCCCAGAAAGAAAAGTAACTGTTCTGATATTGATGGAATAAGATCTTTGTTGTAACCACCCCACGCCTATAGCCTAGTTTTGCCCCAGAAGGATGATCTCTTGGGATACTAAATAAGCTCCTCTCGAAATGAACCTCATTACAACCTTGCAGTGACATTCCGTGGAAGCTGTGAAGGGACAGGAAGTGGGCTCAGAGAAAACATCACACTTGACATTCACATGGGAGTTTTTTAAGTGTTCCTCAGGAGTCAATAGAACCCCAACCCAGGGATGTACCCAAGAAAGAGGCCAAGAAGGCTAGACCTGGGACCACAGGAGATAAAGGAGAAACTCAGACCTTTTCAAAGGAGCTAGCAGTGAGGAGGAGGTTCAAATGAGAAAATAAAGAGAGCCATTCTAAGTTGGGAAGTAGGGTTGGAATAGTGGAAAAGGGATTTCAGGAGTAGATTATATGGCTATTGGGACTTCTTGAAGATACATAGTTTGTCTGATATGGTAAGTACTCTGGTATTTTCTCTTGATAAGTCTGCCTAGTTTTTATTAGGACTTGGTGGAACTGTTTTTTCTTGGTAATAAGACAATATTTTCTTGATAGAATTATTTTGTATCCTGGAAGGTACATCTTTCAGTTACTTTCCTTCTCCAAATTAAACTATTTATTTTGTCATATTTTATTCCATAACATCTATTCTTTTTTTTTTATTTAACTGTATTTTTTTTTTGTCTTTTCTTTTTTGGTACTGGGGATCGAACCCAGGACGTTGCACTTGCTAGGTAAGTGCTTTGCCACTGAGCTACATCCAGCCCTTCCATAACATCTATTCTTTAGATTTATGTTTTTGTAATTTTCCCTTTGGAACTCTAAAGTTCTTCAGATATATTAGTTGTGAAAAGCTGAATTATATCTATTTCCCAGTGGGGTCTGTTAAGTAGTGTCTAAGAATTTTACTTTAGAATTTCCCACCATCCTTGTTGCCTGTTTTTATTCAATGATTTTTGTGGACTTGGTAATCCTAAAACTCATAGTTTTTTCCAGTGCCTTTATACCTAGTCACTTGTCCTTGTACTTGATTTTGTGGAACTTGTTTTTTCTTCTTTTAACTCTATCAAACTCCGTTTTGTATGTTTTCAGTTCATTTAAAACTTGAATTCTGATCTTATACAAGATCATGGCCCTCTCCAGTTTGATTATAGTCTGTTTAGTCATCCAGATAAGATCCACAGTATTCACCCATTAATTCACAGAATTAATCAGTTTTGAACACCACCAGGTGCTTAACATTTCGCAGGATACTCCAATAAGAAAGGTGCCTCCCTAGGCTGGGAATGTAGCTTAGTGGTAGAGTGCTTGCCTTGCAAGCATGAAGCCCTGGGTTTGATTCCTAAGTACCAGATAAATAGAAAAAGCCGGAAGTGGCGCTGTTGCTCAAGTGGTACAGCGCTAGCCTTGAGCTGAAGAGCTGAGGGACAGTGCCTAGGCCCTGAGTTCATGTGCCAGGACTGGCAAAAAAAAAAAAAAAAGTCTCATAGGGACTTTTCTGCCGGGGATGCCTTCAAACTTCGGTCCTTAGATGTCAGCTTACTGAGTGGCTAGGATTAAGGTGTGAGCCACTGGTGCCTGGCTTAAAATAATAACTATTTGGTCTGTCTCCCAAGCTTTGACATATAAAATGTTATGGGGAATTCTATGGTGCTTAAAGTAACATTTTACATATAGTATATATAATTATTTTATTACAGTTTATTTCTAAAGTAAATGTGAGAAGCTTCCTCCTTTTCCTACGATACCCATGGGGCTCTTTCCAAAAGAAGCCTTTGGAACAACAGCTGGAAATAGAATCCCAAAGCACCTTAGAGTTCAGAAGGGTCCAGCTAGTGTCGCTCCACTATGATCAAGCTAAGAGAAGGGAGCTAGGTATCGCAGGGGGTGAGGGAGGAAGAAAATGAACAAAATAGGAAATATAGGAATCAAGGCACACATGTGTATGCATATATCCATACATATATATGTAATTATATGTATACATATGTATATAGATAGGTCTGTTTATATAGATACATTCCCAGGGGGATTTAGTTCAAACGTCTAACCCAATAGATAATCAGGGAAGTAACTTTACAGTCTTCAAATTATTTTAAATAGAATTCAATTTACAAACATATTTACATATTGGTTGAACGTCGTACAGAAGCTAAGGGACATTCACCTCATACTACACAGTAAGGTTTTTATTCTAATATGTTTACTAAGCACTTGAATATTTCTTAGGTCTCACAGATCTCTGGTTACCCAAAGCTGGCATTTGAAAATTTTTAACATTTAAGGAAACAACATTTAAAACACTGGGGTCAAGTTCAGTGAGATAGTGGCCATTTTGTTTCATTTAAGCTATTAGAGACAGGAAGAGCCTCACTAAATAGTCCAGGCTGTTCTAACTCAAGATACTCATGATTTAGTCTCCTGAGTGCTAGAATTACAGAGATGTTTCTCCACCATGCCAAGCTCTTGCCCTAGCCTTTTAAAGTCATTTTTCTTTTTCCATGCTCGGGGTTGAATCCATGGCCTTGCACATGCTAGGCAAGTGCTTTACCACTGAATTACATTCTCAGTCATTGGTTTCTGAGTCAGGGTTTTGGTATGAAGCTCAGGCTGGCC